AAAAATTTATTTATGTTTAATGTATATACATATTAAGGATAGTATTTTTTAAGTTTTAATAACAAAATAACTAAAAATATTATTATAGTGTGATTATGGTGCGACGATCATCATAAAATATAACAATCAAAATAATTGTACACTGGATTTTTGCGATCACGCTTCGTGGTTGGCTGGACCGCGACATGAGTTTAATATGTGTCGCGAAAGYAGTGCGATAGAGAGGTTTTTGGATTTCGCCTGTCCACGTAGGACCCTATATTGTCGATTGTTGTGCTTCGAACCATATCATGATAAATTGGTCAGTTTGGTTTGTCCCTGGCCGGCATGATAAAATATTATGTGTATTATAACTTGTAACTTAAATAAATGTAGACACGCTGACGCACAAATACTTAGGTGGACAGGTATAGTTGGATTTATTATGATATTACATAGAGTGATCCACTTTATTGGATACGCTCAATGCTCATTTTATAAGTAAATTTCTAGGACAAACTTTATCAATAATTTCACATCGTTATTAGTAAGATATTTGTATTATAATTTCAAAGTATTTATTTTAGATAATAATCAAGAGTTGAATCAATATGTTTCATATAGTTTCATAAGTTTAGTCGAGATGATTGATGACGAGTAATGCGTACTATCAACTTCTTTCATATAATCTTAAACTGTTATTATTAATTAACTCTTATTTCGATAATGGAAATATGTATTCGTGATTATAATAGTGATGATTCAATTCACATCAAATCCAATCAAATACTATTAATATAATATAATACACCTATCGTCGTATCAATTAAGYACGATATCAAGTGTAGATTTGTGCCATGGAGACGCTCGTCGTGAACTAGGTAGGTACATTCGAATACATTAGTCAACTGTTAAACAGCTATAATAATGAAACAAAACATAAAATATTTTATCAACAATTTAAAAATAAATAGTAAACATATATCTAGAAGGTCAGTGAAAAAATGTTTACATGACATTTTCGGAATAATTTATTGTTTTCGATGAGCGATATAGCTTGTGAAACGTGTTAAGCGTATGAGCTTGACATTATTATTTATTAAGTGTAGATACCTATTGTAGTATTCTGTATTATCAATTATGTATACATCGATTCCGTGTAGCATCAATAAAAAAAAATATTGCTGAATTTCAGTAGGTAGGTTTAATATAATCCTTTGGTATGGAGTGAAAACGACATACTGTGATTTCCAAACGAGCGATATCACGTACCTATGACGTTGGTATAGATGTATTATTAGAGACGCAAACTCGCATCTTCTCGTATTTGTAAAATTACGATTTCGGTAATTAAACTGAAATCAAAAACGTGAAGTTTAATTTGAGGAAAAAAGAAAGTAAAGTATAGGATTGAGTCTGTTTTTTTTGTGATTGTTGATAAAGACAATCAGAATCAGAATAAATAGAAAAAAAAGTACGTTCGGACTGTTTAAACGCGTTTCCRAGACCATGTACATATATACTAATATAATTGTTAATGATAAAACATAATAATAATGTTTAGGTATGTTGCTTAGAATATATATTATATACTATATAAACGCGAAATTGAATATATCAAGTGATTGAAAAATAAAAACGTTTCGCGTTAAAATTTTGATCGTATATTATATTATGATGTACCATCAAATCGACAGTTAAATGTTTTTTTTTCACTTTAGTACGTGTTCGCGTCACTTCGTAAGTACAACAATCAATGATGAATAACAATCAAACATGAACGTGATGGTTTCATTCTTTTTCATCTTCTTGAAAAAAAAGAAAGAGGCAAARTAAAAATAAATACTTTAATGTTATTATCTTGTTGKTATAAGAATACAAATTCACATTCACGCGATACAACAAATAATATATAATATTGAGTGTGGTGCACGTTAATAATTATTTTCCAAAYGAAATGGTCGGTTATCGTCTTATAATAATTTATAATATACTTTATAATAACAAGTAAAATATTGTAAAGATAATATACGTATCGTTGTCGATGTACCGACATAATGAAGTTGGTAAGCGTACGTGACAGTGATAGTTAATAACAAACTAGCATTGCTATAATAAAATAAAAATTTAATGCATATCAAACAAATCAGTAAGGAAATCGAAAATAATCTTTAATCTTTTAATAAAAAAACCTCAAAAAATTATTTGTAGGTAAGTCGTGGCACAAAGATCATCGGTTATAATTTATTGGTACGATATTACATACAATAAAAGGAAACGCCACAAAAAYCGAGGAACACGCGTTTGTCGCGCACATTATGCTCTACGCATATTTTATAGTTGAATTATCGTAGATATAGGACGTATTGGTACATAATATTAAGTGCGATATCGTTGSACGTTGAGGCACCATCTCTGGACATGTCAAATGGTCGTGTATACCTACGCGGTATATGTTATTACTATTATGGCTGTCTGCGTCGCGCCCTGAATACGTCTAGCAAGAACCGTATTTTTGATCCAGCGGACCAAAGAATTTGGTCGACCGAATACGCGGTCGCCGCCGCCCGCCCACCCGACTGGTCGGAAATTATCCGTCTTTAGACGCGTCTCTTCGGGTGTAACGCGCGTATATAATATACTCACTCGCGTAGTCGTTACTCGGTGGTTTACGGAAAACGCAAAAAAAAAAAAAGAAGCCAAAACCAGAACGTCGCACGACCTATGAAGGAGTACAATAATCGAAAAAAAGTCAAAAATACCGAACGTCAACAAACGGGAATAAAGACGCGTGGCTCGAATAGAAGTAATCGTGTTATATAGTTTAGGTATATCATTCACATATTTGCTATTTGTATTAGGCTCCCACGAAACTCGCGTATTGGCYAACGGATGTATATGTACATAATATTATTATATCGTCATAACAATGATGTATACGGTCGCGGCAATCCTACAGGTATAAATATATATGATAACATTATGTAGGGATGATCAAGCTGTTTTTCGCGGGAACAATTATGTGTGTCAGCGTGTGTACGAACAATAATATAACATAAATATAGAACACCAAGGAAAACAGGAAAATATCGCGAATCACGGTTCTGGCGCGCGGGAAAAATCAATGGTCATCAAAATAAAATAATATTACTATCATTCTTTTGCCTCCACAATATCATATATACATATAGCACTGTGAGTTTTTGTATAAAATGTTTGACTTCGATATCATATATATATACTATACAAATACAGTTATCGTTATCATATCTATACAAATGTTTATCTATAATAAATATATATATGGTTTCAAGAAAAACTGAACACGCGTCTTCGGAACACTCCTGCAATAGATTCCGTTGTCGTCTAGTCGTGCGACTACAGTTCTTATATATGTGCGGGTTCGGTTTTTTTCAACGTAAAGCATAATATTATTGTTATATATTATATGCGGTGACTCGCCCGTCGGATATCGTGTCCCGTTACGTTATATGTATACTCGCCGCCGCGCATAAATCTTTAATGGGTATAATATTAAATTGCGTCTCCGAGTGCGTTTTGCGTAGGCCTTAAAAACACACACACACACACACACACATCATACGGTTGGGTTCCTTTCGTTTGCGAGAGCAATGCGATACGTATCACCACCCGACGACGTCTTCCGCCGCTACTGATCGACAGAGAGATACGCGTATATAACATTATTGTCGTTATTATTATAAGTCTGTAAGTATACCGGAATAAAGGACGGAAGAGTTTCCTTTTGATTTCGGTCGTTACGCCGCTATCATACCACTAGCGTTGGCAAGCAGGACACGATTTGTTTTTAATTTTCGTTGTTTTCTTCCCTTCTTAATAACAATTTTTATAAGTCCGCGAACGGAAACGACGTTTTCTATGGGAAATGTCTTGTGATATTTCCTTACCGTCCGCTCCGTAGTACGAACTTGTCCTAAATTACGGATTTTGATTAACCATCGACGCTTCCGTGCGGTACTCTGCGATTTTCAATCGAAACGAGTTCTCCGTGCCAAACGATAATTAATAATAATGATAAAAAATATTATTATATTTAATAGACAAATACACAGAGTTGTTTAATATTATTTTGCATCCGATGAAACTCGGTCAAGTGTTTTAAATACATACATAATAAAATACACTGTGACTAGCCCGGGAATAGATTCGCGTGATGCGTTTCAATGATTGTCGAATGTAGCTATTCTGCTTCTGCAGCAGGTAACATGCATTTAGTATAAGTATTAAAATGAAATGTTTATTCAATTAAATCTACACCTGCAATTTTCTTTCCTTCGAAGAGTATACTTTCTTCGAATTTAAAATTTCAGACGAATCACGTAGCAAAAACCTAGATCATCTTGTTATTTATTATTCACAGTAAATATCGCTTTTTTCCATTTAATGAACGTTTATTGATCAAAAACGTGTACACGTCGTTTAAATCTTTACAATAATAAAAAAAATCTTTCGTCTTTTGCCTTACTAATCAAAGATAATAGGTCGGCTATAATAGCTAAAATGTATATGCCGTCATCGAAGTATTATAATATACCTATACAAATACCTAGGTACTTTCGATTTTTTCTGTGTTTCGGTTTTTCATTAACTCGTATTTAGATGGTGTAGAGATACTACCACTAAAGAGGGAATTTCATCGGAGAAATTTTCACGTTAATCAATCAAGTGTGATGCCTGAAGTCAACGACATTACGGTCAAGTTTATCGGTGTGATATGGTCATATATATGTATGTACTGTGGAGAGTATTTATTTAATATGTGTCCGCAGTAAAAGTGGATCAATCAACCATTATGAACGATTTGTATTTGGATTCATTCTTAATACAATACGATATATATTTCAATAATGGGAATACAGCTAATGAGTTTTCCATTAATTATAATTTCCGTTGACTTTTTATATTAGTTTAGGTATTATGTTACTGTTAATTTGGTCTATATCAAAATATTTAAATTTATTTTTTATTTATTTTTTCAGACACACGAGGTTTCTACTCAAGATTACGATGGTAAGTRTACATCTTTACATTATAAATAACAATCACGTTTCGTTCGTATGTTTGACGACGTGTACACAATATTAGGTACTATATTTTATTTCATCCAACACTAGAACGGCATTAGAATATTCCGCATTTCCTACAAAATATCTAGTTTTGCTCAATATACCAACAACTACCATCCGAAATTATGATGTAGGTATTTGAGTAGAAAATGGCTTCACGTTGTATTTCAATCCATTCGTAAAAACGTCCTAATTTCGTTTTCATATACTCGTAATATATATAATATCATTATATGATATATATTTATTTTCTTCAGCGAGTTCGKCGTATATAATACGTATTTCTGTCACCGGCTCTATCAAAACATTTCACGCTAAATGCGCTTTTAATCCGGACCTTGTATTCGGACCAGGCGAGTGCTAAAGACGCTGAGGCGTCGGCGTCGATCTAGATTTAACGGCACCTAATTATTAGCGACAGTCATATTATAGTATTCGACTCGATCTCGATATAGATCTTCCTCCACCAACGGTAGTGTGTGTGTGTGTGTGTGTGT